TTGATCAGGTTTACTGAATAATTAATTGTAATCTGACCCTAATTAATTTATTGGTAACACAGCCAAATATTGGCAATTAATTGCAATTTTTATTGTAGTTTATGTTTAGTGCACATAATGTTTAGTGTATTATAATTAGTAATCAATAAGAACTCAATTTCAAGAGTCTATTGTAGTGAAGTCTATTAGTACAAATTAGTAAAATAATTATACATGTTATATATATATATAAATAAGATGTTTGATCTGAAAGGTCAAACTTTAATTTGAATTTTTTCTTGTATCAAGTCAATACTTAAAATATCATTTTATAATCTTATAAGTGTTGTTAAAAAAGTTGATATTGTAGTAAAAATATAAGGAGACATCATATAGAAAGTGGGTGTAAATAGTTAAATTAAAACCTTAAGTATGTGAATAATTACTAACTCTAAAAAAAAATCAACAATCAAGATATAATTTTTTTCAATAACTTATAAATTGCACAAATAATATAATCTATCTTTTAAAGACATATATATTGAAATAATATTTTTTAAATTAGTTATAATAAGTGTAAAGATTTCAAACAAACATTACATCAAGGTTTTTTTATATTTATGAATAATGACAAGTATTAATATAACTTGTGTCCTTTAGATTACAGCTAATAATCCAAAAAAAAAGTACAGATTATACAAATTTAATGAATCACTTAAATATAAGATATGAAAATTTCAAGTTGATTTATCAATAACATATTAAAAACTTTATTTTCTCTTCAATAAATTCTGATATATTTAGTTATAGTATAAATGTACTTAATATTTTTAACTGGATAAGTCTTATTATAAAGTATCACTTACTTTTCAATGCATATAAAAATTTTGATTTTTCTTTGCATACTAGTCTTTCAAAATTAGATATTTCTATTGTTATTAAGTATATTAATGGTTTGGCAGATATTGTACAAAAAGAACAAAAGATATTTTATCAGAAAAAATTGAAATTATGTTTGATAGATGGACAAATAATAGTATTCATTTTGCTAAATTATTTGATATTTATCAAATGATTATGAATCTAGTAATTTAGTATTGTTAGCATTTTTAATATTTAAAGATCATACTATTCAAAATGCAGATACATATATTGAGTTTTTTGAAGATATTTTAGAATCATATAACAAGAATACTGAAAATATCCTTTTTCTCTTAGAAGACAACTATAATACCAATTAAAAAATAACAAATGATTTATACTTTTTGCTTATAGAATATGTATTACATCATTTAAATTTGAGTTAATAATCTAATAAAATCTTCATCTATATTTGTAAACTAAATTCATATGATTGTACACATTGATAAAAACTTATAAAAATTGTAGAAAGTTTGCAAAAATAACATTTTTAAAACTTATATTGAATAATGTAACTTATTGAATGAGTTCCTTAAAAATGATTAAATGATATATAGAACTAATTTTTTATATTACCCAAGTCAATAGATTTTTAGATCATGATATTTTGTTAATAGAACAATTAGATCTTAACAAAGTTAATAGTTTTATTGATCAACTTAAATATTTTTTAGAAACAACTAATAATTTACAAAAAGAATCAATGAATTTGGATAATATTTATGTTTATTTTGATTTATTGATTGAAGAATATTCAAGCTTAAAAAACTGATTAGAAAAGATTATATCAATAGTTCATGATCCTATTTTTAGAAAAGCTGTTATTAAAGTTTTATGCAAACAAGAAGCTGTACTAATACTAACTAAAAAACAAAAACTCTATACATTTATTGTTGAACAAAATGTGTAACAAACAGTAGAAGAACCTATAACTATGAAAGAACAAGTTGCAAAAAAATATAAATTAGAAAAGTCAAGATATATGAACATGAATATTGTTTCACTTACATCTAATTCAGTAGAATGTTTATTTTCAATTGTCAAATATTACTATACAGACTAGAAAAAATCACTTGACCTGCATATTTTAGAAAACCTTTTGCTATTAAGAATGAATAATAAAATGTGATCTATTTGGGATGTTCATCAAATTAAGTAATAAGATTTATATCTAGTATACAATACATACAATGTGTATCAATATATCAAAAAAAAAAACTACAATTTATTGTATTCGGGTGTGATTTTTTTCTATACAATAAAAAATACAATTATTGTAATTAATTGCAATTATTTTGTCACTAATTGGGTTTAATTTTTTTTTATAATAATTTTATTAATTAATAATTGTTTATACATCTAATAAAAATTGATTGCAATTAATTTTTAAGTACCCCTGCCATCGATCTACTCGAAGTAACAAAAGTAACAAAAGTAATAAAAGTAAGAAATGTAAGATTTCTCTTACTTTCATGTGACCACTTACTCGGATAGGCGACGGGACTAAATGCGACAATCGATCACGTGTCACGTGTAGAGATGGGACACTGCGCAGGCGGAATTTTACGGAAGCCCGGAATTATCCGTAATGTCGCAGAATTTAACAATTTTGGCCCGCATTAGCGTAATGCAGGCTGCGCAGCCTACACAGTAGATTCGAAAAATCCTCGTTTTCCCATCTCTAGTCATGTGTGACCGTGGTAACGGTGGTAGCGATTCCGGGGCTCACACTACTTTCTCAACAGTCCTTCGGACAACTTCGGACAATTATCTATAATTAATTATATAGAACGTGATCCTTATTACTACAGTTCAGTTATTGATACTCCTGAACATAATTACATAGACCTGATTCTCATCGATGTAGTTTTGTTATTAATATCCTTGGAGACGTGTGAATTACTATAGTTTGTCTTTTAATTTTTGTTTTAATATTCTTTGTTTATATTTCCTATTATGTTCATTATGCTAGCTTGTTTTTGGATCTTTATTCCGCCAATACGATCCGACGCCTCCAAATATAGTTCATAATGACCAAAATTTGGATGATATGCACTTAAAGAACGATAAGAAAATTTGCATTTTGGGATCAAGCATATATAATCACCCAACTATTACAAAATAATAGGTGTAAGAAAGCATGTGCAATTTGTAATCATAGCTCCGTACGTACAGTACGTAATACCAATAGAATAGCATGTAAACAAAATCTTACATTTGATTGGATAATCATATCGTTACTGTAATAATTTTGTCCAATGTTACTCAACAGGAGGAACCATTGCAACATATAAAAAAATTATTTTACAATACCGCGGTATTGTAAATAATTTTTTTATATGTTGCACACCGGGTGAAGGATCAGCTGTGTAACATCAACGGTTCTTGTTATTGTTACCTTTAGTAGTATCGGTAATTGCATATGAGTGACGAAAAGGGAAAACCTGTAAATCATCTCACTCATATGCATTATTATGTAAATCACATGCGTGCGTAGTTTTATGACGGAAAATTTTTCCGCAGTTTATTGTTAAAATCATGTGCACATTTTTAATACAAAGACCTGCAGCAATAATATGAAAAATTTTCCTTAATGTATAAGTCATGCCAGATTACAATTGACGGAGAAAGTGTATCTTTACTACTTTACTAAAATTTTACAAGAAATTGTTTGTTATAATATAAAATACAATTTGATCAGTACGTACTGCATATTAATTACATAATAGTTAGTATAGGGACATAATATACAGTCAACACTTTTTATACTGAACTCTCGAGTCTGGGCAAAAAAAAGTTCGTTATAACAAATTACTATGTTTTCTTAAGAGCCGTAGCTTTTTTTATATTGAACTACTATTAAAATTTCAAATTTGGGTTCGTTACATTCAAAGTTCATTATAAAAAGGTTCGTTATATCCAGAGTTGACTGTATTAATCTACATATACGAAATTTAAAAAATTTTATTACCAGGAAACATGCACAATTAACGTTGGTTAATTCAAAATAGTATTTGTTAATCATAATAGCCTTTAAACCTATACTGACATGGACATAATCTGATATGACATTATAACTGTTACACTTCAAAAATATGAATGGTCAGTTATGTCTGTTATGAAATTGACTGTGTATAAACAAATATTAGAATTTTATAAAGAATGAATGAAAGAACTAATCATTATATAGAAGACATAAAGGAGAATCAATTCGCTATACAGTATATAGTGTACCATAAATAAATATACTCTCGGATATCCGCTAGTTTAATTTTATACCAAATTTATTATGAAGAATCTGGTTACCCGTTAAATCTTAAATAGAAAAACAAATAACGGATCGCAGATTTTAACGTTAAATGTTTTGAGTTATTAAGATATTTCATTTCAAAGTTGCTAAATAAAAATTATTGTCTATGGGTGCGTATTAATATTAATGTATTCAGTACTTTTAAAAAAAAATTTTAATTATCATTTAACTACATTTTTTACGAGTAGTATCAGGATAGATCTACAAATAAGCAAATTCTGTATACCAATCGTTCAGATCTAATATAGTCGAAACGAAAAAATATAACTGTTAAACTGACTACAATTCACCTAAAATCCACGATTTTTATTGGTGTTATCGAACGGACATTGTACAGGCATGCATTTCGTACAATAAAAATTATAAACACGGGCGAATTGAGTTTTATTAGATTAAATAGTCATTGTTTTTTAGTACACGAGTTCTATTTTTATGCTGTATTTCTTATTGGTCGCATACCTCTGTGACACATAAAAGCAGAAAGCGTCAAAACACTATATGCATTAAGAACCATCAAGTCAATTAACACGTAAATTAATAAAACAAAAATATAGTAATAATTATGATAAAATGTAAAATAAAATGAATAATGCTCTATATGTCTACATAAACGAATATGTACAACGAGAATTTAGTGTTTTAGTCGACCTAAATTTGCTGACTCGACCAATTCAAAAAATCAATTGTCTATACATAGTATGTAAAAAAAAACATATATCTCGAATTTTTCTACTACTCACTATCGTGAGTTATCTAATTCTCATCATTATAAGAATTATAAACTTGAGGATTAAACAATAGGATTTAATAAATTCACAATTTTTGGAGTGATAAGTGGTTTTTCAGCAGATTTGGGCTTAGGTCCTCTCTTTTTAATTGGTTGAACGTATATACATTTACGATTATGTCGCTTACAATTCGCGCATACTTCTTCACCCGAACACTTTTCCTTTTTATCTCGACAACTTGTACACGCCAACGTCACGTAAGAGCGTGTTTTTCTTGTTATTTCAGATTTATATGGCCGTGATGGTGTCTCTTTGAGTACATTGGATTGAGAAGTTTCCACTAAACTACAACATGTGCAGTATGGATGATATAAGTTGTTATTAAAGTTGTAGTACGGGTTGTATGATTTATAAGATGAATTAGAAGTTAAATGCATTTTTGTATGTCGCGACTTGATAATTAGCCAACAATTATTTCTTCACGCACAAAAAATAAATATTTCGTGTTCGAATGCTTTTTGCGACAAAAGTTTATGTTTGTATTTCTTCACGCACACAAATAAATATTTCGTGTTCGAATACTTTTTGCGACAAAATTTTATGCTTATATAGATTTTTCAGCTTTGTCGGCTTTTCTATCTTTCTTTTTAATTTTATGTTGTACATTGATCTAAAGTTCTCTTAAATTTTATTCTTTCGCTTTAATGACCGGTAATAATAATTCAATATCTTTAAACTTGTATAAATTTTATTCCAGAATTCTCGAATTTTCTTTACACAGAACATTCTATTAACAAAAATAAAAGAACTTAGAAAATAAAAATAATTCCTGGGCAAGCTTCTAGTTAAAATCTGTACACATGGCGACGGTGTGATTGCCAATTTAGGAGATAAAAGGAAAATTAAGTATTAACCAGTAAAGCGTCGGGATGTAAACTCCGGTCGGAAAATACAGATTCTAGAATGTTCATCGAGTTAAACAAAGCCTTTTATTAGTGTTACGTGTAACGTGCCGAAATACAACATCACGTGATTACGGAATTTCAACAACGTGTTAACTATCATTGGAAATCAGTCCCGGGGTACAGCTCCAGTCAATGCGAAGATGTACGTAATAATTTTTTTTACCCCGGAAACTACTTTGCTTTTACTATTTTTATACTGGCCTCTTATTTCACTTTATCACAAAGTAAAATATTTATTCATTCACTGGGTATAATACATATATATATATATATATATATAATTAGCAACAAGACTTATTTTTCAGATCGCCTTTTGCGATTTGTAAGAGAACTCGTGATTTATATGTCAATTTTTTGTTTATTTTCCAATCATTATTGAATTTTTTTCATGCTCCTTCATAAATATGTCTAACGAGAAACAGAATAAAAATCATGAAAAACATGAAAAAAAACAAAAAAGGGGAAATGAAAATAAACGAAAAAATATTCTAAACGCTTGTAACGGTTGTAGGATAAAAAAGATAAGGTGTAGCGGCGGAGCACGATGCGATTGTTGTACCCGCAATAATTTAGTGTGTTTTTATCCAACTCCAAAGAAACGTGGTCCGAAACATCGCCAGGAAAACACTCCACATAACGGTATTAATCATGTGCCAAACAATAATCCAATTAATCTTCTTTCTGAAAGGGTTAGCAACGTTGAAGATATGCTTAGTAAAGGTATTGTACAGCTTCAGTGCATATTATGAATTATTGTTATTTCTTTGTTAAAAAAAAAATTTTTTTTTTTTTTATAGTTTCCGGAGAATCGATTGACGACAAAGAAGCTTCCATGGCATCATTTGACAAACTCTTGCAGTCTGTGACTGCGTTTGTGAATGAACCGCCTACTTTGTTCTCACCAGGTAAGCCTCTTTTTTTTGCATAAAATATGACGTAAATTTTATAAAAATTCACTTTTTTTGGTCCAATAAAAGCCTTTCCAGACACAGTTAATAGTTGCATGAATCTACAATATGGAAATTCCACTAACCCGATTGACAAGGAGATAGTATGCTTGGAAGATTCTCAGTATTTTCCTCAAGGTATATTTTTAGATTTGTAATTTTATAATAACATATTTTAGTCATTACATATTATATATGTATATGCTCTATTTGTCTTATTACAATAGACGTTCTGTCTTCTGCTACCAATATTCCTCCTCTTTATCAAAGAAACAATATGAACCTTGATTCTCATAGTAACTTTTCCTTTGGAGAGCAACCTTATATGCTACATGACACATTACCTACCTTTATTGAAAATAACATGCTCATACCAGAGACCTATTATCCTTTAACTACAGAGGAACATATCTTTACAGGAGCACCTTCAAGTGATGAATACCCTATTTGAAATACATGTTGTAAAATTCATTGTTATCGTGATTATAGTTTATTAAGTTCATTCGCAAACATAGATCAATGTTCTTTCATTGTCCATTTTTAAATATATTTCAGAAAATTATATACATAAGAAAATTAAGAAAATTAGAGGTTTGATAATAAATCAATTATATCGTTCATCATATGATGACTCTAAAAGATTTTTTGATATGTTACATTGTCTATAAATGAGCTCTATCAAGGGAAAACATGTAAGTGCAAATTTAAATTTTCACCGTAACAAATTTCCGAAAAATTTATGACATTACATAAATTAATCATTATATGATTAGTGTTCTGATACATAAATACCTTGAAAATAGTTTAGTCAAAAATTATCAGAACGTTTATCGTAATCTGTTTTAATTATGTAATTTATATTACAATATCAGGTTAAGTCTGGTACGGTGAAATTTTAAATATGTACCTAAAAATTTTTCCTTGGTAGAGCTTGAATTAACAACTTTAAACTTGACTGTATGCGTTTTTTTTTTACATAATTTCTGGTTGGATTGATCTATTAAGAAAAAAAAAAACATTCAAACTTTAATAAATTGGCTTATTCAAATCTCAATTTGCTTACTATAGTTTATTTCAGCCTATAAATAGCAAGAACAGTGTTTTAAAGGTAAGGGGCACCCATAAACGGTGCATTATCCAAATTTTTTAGAACATCTGGAACAGAATATAGGAAAAATAGTAGAGAAAATTGATGAGCATAAAGATGAGCATGATTTGCGAGAAAATTTCGGAATACGTAAATATTTTGGTGACGGAAAGATGTAATTCTCACTCAATTAAAGAACCAAAAAAATCAATACAAGAAATAAAGACATCCTAATCGATGCATACAATTTGGGTAAGACTGACCAAGAAAAAAATGGAATATTAAAGATAGGTCGATTTATTATAACCAAAATTTGAGATATAATTAATTTTATTTGCATTTTTCTTTTACTTTATAACATTCAAAAAATTTTTTCTGCCACATTCATCTATTTTATCTCTCGAATTCAATGAAGAATGCTATATAATTGAGGATTCGATCTTTGAAAAGCGAAGTGTTCACTTTAACATTTCTTCCCTTTTAATTTGATTTATTTATACTAACTGTTCCTTTTCATTCTTTTTGCATGAATTAATTAAAGGATCTTATGGATTTTCACATTTTTAGTCCTTATTACAATCCTCACATTTTGATGTTGAGAGATTTATACGCAATCAAGAACTTTATTATTTTATGTTAATGGCTTTGAACTAGACCATTGTCAGGATCATGGAGTATAGTCACATATGGGTAAATATTTTTGAATCCAGACTAAAATATTACTATTCCATACATAAAATTGGTCCAGTTTCAAAAATAATTACCGATATTATCTACCACATCTAGATCATATTATCAGTATTAAATAAATTTATAAGCCATAGATTTTTAAACTAATTGTCAGAATCAGATATATTGTAGATATGAGTAGGATTTAATAATATCGTGCAGTAAAATTTTGCGAAAAATATTTTCAATTAGTTCGCGGAAGTCAGTTTCATAATTAAATCTTGACTTAAGAATGGTACTTAAAGATCATTTTAATTTTTGCATTACACATAATCTTGAAATTTGATTGAATGTATCATATGATTTCTAAAAAAAAAAAAAATACTAAAACTATACAAATATTGGGAAACAATAATTGATATTTGGTAATATATTTTAATTAAACAAAATCTGCAATATATAATAAAATATAATTTTTTAACTGATGAATGTTCTAATGTACATACGTATGTGTTTAAATTTTCTTTTTAAGAGGAGAGCAGATTCTTGTTAGTAACATTAAGTGAAAACCAGACTTGGAGGCTGTTAAGTTTACTACTGTATTTATCATTTACTAGACTCAGCCCCAATCAGAGGTAAGATACATATGTTAATTACGTATTTTATATGTCATTAGTCAATCTAAGCCTGTTAAATAACCAAATAATAAGCTTACAAGCACAAAGTCAGGTCTTGCCTTGGCGTCGCTCATATGTATATGCTTTATTAAATTGCCTTCCCGACGTTTTTTATTAATACACCACATAGTGTACATCTGAAATGTGTCTGTACTATATTTGTGCAGCAGATCTGCAATCACAAAAATTCACTAAGTTTATTGATGTTAGGGTTATCATTTACACGTATATTAGGGTCAGATGTTAGCAAATTATATAGTAAATTGCACAAAGAAAAAATTTTGTTAGAGGACTAAAGATGGTCTCATATTCGGATTTTTTGAATATAGGTGTTATGAACGTTTGCTTTGAATATTACAGTTTTTTTTGATTTTTTTTTTTACCTCCTTCCGCTATCCTGAAGGTCCTCAGACACCTTTAGATTTGTCACATCTCTTTAAAGGCTCGAGTTATCATTTAGTGGAGATTGTCAGATGGCCATTGACACCTGTGTATTTGTGGAGATAGCTCATGCTTCGTTAAGTCCATCACATAATGTTCCAGGTTCCTGGCTCTGCAGTGTAGGATCTACTATCTTTATTCAGTCTGCAGTTCCTTAACTTTACATAACCCACCAGTCAAATCATTCTCTATATTCCTTTATTAATCATTTTGGTTGGGCTTTCTCAATGTCAGCATTATTTGTTAATGGATTTACCTTATCTGGTCTTATGACTATATTGGCAAACTACATTCTTATATATGAATTTTGTTCTTTTTTCAAACAGAAAATTTTCCGAAAATTATTTCTTGGTGAAGTTACTATTACTCAGTAAAACTTGAACTTGTGATATTGTGATTGTGATTCAAAACACTATCACTATGCTATTAACTGTAGGTCAATCTTACTGATTTTGAAATCTAATTTGTAATTCAGAAAATGCATTCTAAGTTTAAGATTGAAGACTTGCAAATTTTCAAGATATGTTACAGGGACATGTTCTTTATATTTTATATTATTGTAATTTTGAGATAAGGATATTTTAAATAAAGAGATCACTAAAGAAGAATAACTATTAAAATGACTGTCTAAGGGGTTATATAATTAATTACAAATATAATTTAACTAATTGATCAATTAAATTAGAAAAAATGATCTTCTTTATTTTTTTTATATTTGTAATATAACTAAAATTTAATTTGATTATATAATTAATTTATATTGATAAATTTTGTTATATGTATTTTTATATTATTTTATAATAGAAAATTTTAACTTAAGTAATAATATTAAAATTTTATAATTAAAAACCTTATAAAATTTTGTAAAATAATTTTTTTAAAATACTTAACTTTTATATAAAAGTATAAAATCAAGTAGAATTAAGTATTTTACTAAGTTTTATTAAAGAATTTTATCAATATTAATATGTAATACAATAACAATATTATATATTTTTTTAAGTTTTAAAACTTATTATATAACTTTGGCTAATTAGTAAAAATTAAAATAATTATATAAGTATATAAATTAAAATAATAAATCTTATTAAAATTAAAATAAAATTAAAAATATGTATAGCATATACTAAAATTAAGTAATAAATATTTTTTATTAATATACATAAACAATTTTATAAATAAAATTTAAGTTAGTAATAAATTTTAAAAAATACAATTTTTATATTATATTTAATCTTGTTATCTAATTTACTAAATTTTTTTTATAATATTAAATTATAATTTATACTTTATTAGTTTTTTGCATTACTATTATATATAGTTGTACTACTAAATTATTTTTTGTTTTAAACATTTAATATAATACTGTATTTATACTTTCTTATATATTTTATAATATTTTTATATATTTTAATTATTGTTACAAGGACCAATTCTGTAACTCTCTCTGTAGATCACTTGTACCAAAATTTTACTAAAAACATTTAATTATTTCACAATATTTTATTAAGTAAACCTTACTTGTTCCCTTAAGTAAAGTTGTTGAGCACACTTTTCTCTTCTTAGGCGGCCAAGTTTTAAGTCTTCACAATACTTGATCACTGAGAAAAGTTCCAAAACCAAAATCTGGTTTTTGCTAATTTTCTAAATATTTTATTAAGTAAATATATCTTGTTACCTAATAGGAAAATACTAAGCACTC